CACCGGATTATATGGAAGAGTGTTCACGGAAATATGACAGAAGATTATATAAGAAATAATCACCCATACAGATATAGGACAGTGAGTTGGATAGGTCCAAGCACTTAATGATACTACAGCGCGAAATGATAATAGTGACATTAATATTAATTAATATCTGGACGGTTTAATACAAAGGTATAATAAAAATAAGCAATAAACACTAATAATGAACGAACGAGCAGTGGAATCTGAACGAACATCACACGTCGTGAAGGTATTAGACTAGGAGAGTGGAGGCCGCTCTAATAAATCACCTCTCCGGTTCGTTAGGCGCACGCCGGCCGCACCGCGGGGGTCCACCTTCGATTCCCGTCCCGGCAAGTGAACGACCACTCAAATAACCCCCTGTAGGTGAATATTTTGACGTGCCATAACATGCTGTATGGTGTCTGGAACATTCCGATTGATGTATGGTTTCGACAAATATCACAATTCCCCATTCAAACACAGATAAGATCGCGGCCGACCTTATGTAACATGAGAGACGAATCTCCGAATTGTTGTTCACATAAACGAAAGACATCCGCATACCGGGCAACAGGTTTAGTGCAAGTTTAAAACACAGGCTCATTCTGCATCGAGATAGTCTCGTATCTTGCATAATGATTTACATAATAAACACACCAGATATATTCGCGAGCCCCCGACCGTTCTTAATGGCTAGTTTAATTCGTTAATCTGAGTGGATGAAGGCGTCCGTCAGTTTTTAAAAGTTAATTATCGACGTCTCTCGCCGGTCGGGGTCCGGCCATACATCATCCCTACCAATATAAATCAGAGGTGATTGATAGTGTTGTATATCTCACGCTCGTTTGCTAGCTCCTTTTTTAATCCGACACAAATGATTTTTACACTTTACTTCCTTTTCTGATTCCATTTCGCTCTGGATTTTACGAGGTGTCAGGAACGACTTCACCGAATGCAGACGAATATATCCCGCGTTATGGCCCTCGGTCGGTATTAGAGTTAGATTAATATTGAAACGCGTCACTGTATTAAAACAGGGAACGTGAAACAGAATATATGTGTATTAAAATTTAGTTAGGACCATTAGTGGCGTTATTTTATAGCGAGTTAGTGTTGATGGTTTATAATTTGTTACACCGCAGCGGAATCACATGAAACCTGATATTTATGAACCATTCACACCGTATTCAATGTTTATAGTCTAAACTATCATGTTTCTAACAGTCCATTGGGTCGAGGGTACGAGTCTACACACGATGGACGGAGACCTTTCGCCGACAGATTAGCGAACTTCCTATTGTACTCGATCCCCAAATTCACATGCAAATCGTCGGGCAGAATGTGCGGAAACATAATTAGCTTACGACGCCCGGAACTGGTATCGGCAGGTCGCTGGGTCGTGGGGTCGGCCGCTTGACCATACGCCGTAAACACTCGGAACCGGACTATTATTTCATCTTTTTAATTAATGTTGCCGATCGGTCCGCCTAGGGTTGTCCACTCACCGAGCCGGGGGTTTTTCGCGACGGCCGTGGGAACGCGTCGGCACGTAGGTGATTTTATCTTAATGTCAGCCGCGGATAGTGAGGCTAAGTTTTCCCAGAATTTGGACCATAACGAGCGGCCCTGCAGCGTCGTACGAAACATGTCACTGTTATTATGCTCACAAGGAACGATAATATCTCTCACTCGCCGTAGTGGGCATACCGACTCGCTTTCCTCGTAATTCCAAATCCCGCCACTGATCTTAGAGTCGATTACTCTGTTAAATTAATCTCGTGCACTTCTCGGTCGTATTAATTTGTAGTGGTCAGTTCTGTTGGTGATTTTCTCACGACGTGAATGTTTAGTGCGTCGTCTAGTCTAATGTAAACAGGCGAGTGTACGGTCAGTCGAACAACAATGACCCCACCTGGTTCAAGACGCAAATTGACACCCTCCTCAGAACGCTATGCTGATCCTTTTGACACAGCCTTTGTCTGACATGGGCGTATGCAAGGCGCTTTGCCATTCAAAAAAATAATAACCGAAGCAAACATTGCCATAATTTGCAGCCCCTGGGAACAGCTTAGGACGCATGATGTTTTTGACAAGTCTTGTGGGCTCCACAAAGACAGTATTGTTCATAATTTCCGTTGTAAAAATGACGGATATTTGAACGCGGTACGATTGAAACAGAAAGTTTACGTAGTATAGATTAGTTAAATATTATATTCATATATTGTTAGATAATATAATTTGAAAATCTAAATTCACTTCACGTTGAATTAAAAATAGTTATAATAAATATCTATAAAGGCTATTGATTTGTGAAAATACACAAAATATTATATATAAAGTATTCAAAAAGCGCAAAAATGGCTTAATTTGAATAAAAATTGAATTCACTCCCCTCGAGAGTAGGATGATAGCAAAAATCTTTCTAAATGACCGGTCAGATACAATAAGTTATTAAGGCACAACAAACAATGAAGGCAGTGATTGATGCGGCAGACAATGCCGTCTTTGTACACTTCGCGAGTTACACCCGAAACCGAACCCGGGACTCTTTGTAATCAAATTTATGCACTTATTAACAAAAACCGGTACCTAATGTACGTCATTAATCAATATATTGTCTGGGAAACATAGTGTAGATTTCAGTTTTAATACGAATCATAATTAGAAAGAATACTACAAAATAATGACAAAAAATTTCAAGATAAGTCCTATATAATGCGTTGATACAAGTTTTGACGGTATCAAAGAACATTGGTTATAATGAAAGGATGACCAGTGATATATCTGTAACAGATCGCATTATAAGGCGTTAGTAGCCCCACCTAGTACCTTTCAACCGCTAAAACGTTTTATAAAACACCATTTGAAACAAGAAAAAACACGACAAAGGAAATGTAATCTCGCTGCATCAGATATTGATGCTTAAGACGATTACGGTACTACAAAAGACTGTGTTTTTTTCTTCATTATTAACAGTTAATCTCGTATAAAAACTAGACCTTGCACCTTTTCATTGTTTGTTGACAGAAAACAAATCGTTTGGTGGACAAAATATTGGGTAAGGGTTGGAAGGATTCAAGGGTTGGATTGAGAGCAGGTTAGTCGAGCTTTCCGGTAGCTGAGTTATATGGAGGAAGGGAAAAAACTTGGACGTGTGACGTCATTACATTCGTGGCTTGATAAAAATTAGCTACGTCTAATTACAAATAATAAGGATTGAATTTCAGATAGTTTTGTTACAGAAAGTTTACTCTCTGTGCGTTCAGTACATTATAGATATATAATGACTTAATTAAGTCTTCTTCTATCTGGCAATTTCCCAGATTTAGCCAGGGTCTGTCTAACATGTTGTGAATAGTTTTTTTCTAATTGTTTTTACGACCAGCCGCCTGCCTGACCCTCTTTTGCGAATAATGACTTAGTTAAATCCTGATTAAAAATACTATATTATGTAAAATTCTAAATATTTCTAAGGTCGTTTTTCTGTCTGTGTTGTTATTAAGTTATAAATATCGTTTATGTTTGTACAGTCTAACATTATTTTGTCCTACACGAACATGTCATTATTCCATAAAAAAGACATTTCAAGAACTGTTAGACTTAAAAAGTATACAATTATATTACAAAATGTTCCTCAGTTCTTTGTAATTTCAACAAAGTTATGACCAGCGTCTAGATAATATAGTGGGTAGACAAAAAACGTATAGAACATGAAGTATGTTGAACAAAGATCGTATATGTCATACACAATGGTCACTGATAAATTTAATATCTGCCCAATCAAGATGAAACCAATTATAAACACCATCAATCAGTTGCCTGTCGTTAAACAATAAAGTCTAACACGAGCCTAATGATGCCCAGTTAGGTCGACTAGAGTCTAGACCTCCATTAGTTACTGACTGCCCTTCAAAAGTCTAGCAAATACCTGCATATGATTATTATTTATGTCATTAATTAAGTTGGAACCGCTTTTTGTTGGGACGAACAAATTGTCCGTTAAATGGGACGACGATTATGTATACAAGGATTTTATATACTTCAATTATATATACTAGCTTTCCGTAAACAGCTTCGCCCGAGTGGAGTTCGGTTATATCGCGTTTCTAAGAGAACCTTTCAAATGTAGGGAATAAAAACTATCCTATGTTCTTTATCAAGGTCAACTCTATCTCTGTACCAAATTTCATTAAAATCAATTCAGTGGTTTAGGCGTGAAAGCGTAACAGACAGACAGACAGAGTTACTTTCGCATTTATTATATTAGTAGGGTAAGTATATAGTAAGTTGTATTGATTGCAAAAATCGAAGTTCGGTGTAATATTCTACATTGTATATGTACTGTAATAATAATGACGTTTTTATAGCTTTACTAAATATTATTAGCATCAAAAATACGCAAAATTTAAAGAAACTATTATGTTGCGAACGTTGCTAAAGAAATAAAATGTATACTTAGTAGTTATACTGTAAGAAAAAGTTTTGGAGAATTGCTAAAGATAGAAGAATGTGTTTATGTAACATATTTTTATTATTTTATATAACTGTGACTCAGTTCATTATTAATACGATTTCCTAGCTAGGATTGTCATTCAAATATTCTTATAATAATATATTAAGATGCTATGTAAATTTTAATTCTTCCGTTTTCGATGTCATTAATTATTATAAATTTGGTTTTAATTCAATATTAGAAACCTGTTCAGGATCCATATTTTACTTGGTGTTCGATTAACATAACTCTTGCAATGGTTATTCAGACTTAACTTTGATTTATATCAACGAAATAGGTCATAGGAAAGTAGCTTGATAAAAACTGAGTTATCCTACTAATATTATAATTGCGAAAGTTTGTGAGTGTGTTCAAACAGCTGAAGCGATTTTGATCAAATTTTGTATACAGGAAGCTGACGTCCAAGAATAAGACGTACGCTACTTTACATCCCGGAAATCCGCGGGAAACACCATAGTTGATCATATTTGAGTCTTACCTTCTCTCCTCATTCCCATCTTGAGACATTTCCTGAGCCGGCAATACTGGCACTGGTTCCTATGATGCTGATCAATGGGACAGTTCCTGTTACCACGGCAGGAGTAGGTTAAGTTCCGCCTCACGGAACGCTTGAAGAACGACTTGCATCCTGAAACAGAATAACTCATTAAACCTCACTGATACACCATTTAAATGAGATGAAGACATCTAGTAACAATTAAAATAAGTTCAACCCACGTAGCATTTAAATCAATGCATAGCGTGGGTCGATCAAACAGATACAGTAATTACAAATAATCTAAAAATTTGATTTTATTAACATAAACTTATACAGAGACGAACTGGTGAAGGAATGTTAACGACCCATGAATAACTTATTGTTAGAGTGATTTGCGTTAGGCTGGCTATAAACTGACGCCGATAATATTATAAAACATATGTACGTGCGAGCACCCTTATGGCTTACACGCAGAATCGAACCTAGCTCGCTAAACTTTACCGCCATTCTAGAAACTGAGACATCGCGTCATACATACATATGAATAAAATTTATAATTATATTATTTAAAATAAAACGATAATAAAGTTATTAATGAGAACGATGTACGCTCGTTATTTTTCAACATATATTTATAACAAACGAGATATGAATATATAATGTATATGTAACATAATTATTGAATATTAATAACTCATATAACAGTAGCATAGTAAATTTATTAAAATATTAAAAACATATATATCGAAAAGACAAATTCATATATAAAAATTATTAATGTTATAAAACTTTGATAATATATTATATGTCATAAATATTGTATGATATTGATTTAATTTGTAATTATGTGTCGTCTATTGGTTTATATGATAGGGTGTAACGTATGGACGAACTTTTCAAGTTATTTATTGAGCCGGTTCGACAGCGAATACTTTGAATTTTTTACTATTTATATAAAAAATAATGCTCAATTAATAATAGGTATGTATGAGACGATCATCATTCACGGTGCGTGTGTCGGGTCCATCGTTGTAGTGAGAGGAGCTTCAACAGTGACTGGGACTTGCGACCCAGGTGTAGGTTTAAGGCTCATATCTAACGCGCGTTAAAAGCTTAATTATTGTTAAAAAACGTTTGTAAAATAAAGTTTGGTTCAAATAATATATTATTCTATTATTTTATACAAACTTTCTCTGTCATTTTGTTATTTTTATTTCTGATTTCTATATGTGATTGTATTTATTATATAATAAATATTTTTTTACGATTCCGTTGAAACAGTTGTACGTATCTTAGATCAGGAAAATGTTAAGTGGAAAATTATGAGAAAGTTATGTGTACCGCTACGTATGATGACTATACGAGGTTTAATATATAATATTAATAAAAAAAATAGAAATATTTTGTCCAAAAAAAAAATTTAAACTAACGAAATTTTATTACTTAGATAACATAATTTATATGACAAATTATATAACTATACTAATGCATCTATAATGAAATATATTATTATGAATATCATTCAAATTTTTCTCCATAATCATCATTTCTGGGAACATCTTTAACGAAAGATGCTGCGATACAACGTAATGAACACTTATTAGTTCACACAATGACGGGTTGTGACCAAGTTAAACAGAATTAATATATTCTTATAAAGAAGAATATATATATGTATATATCAATGTGATTTTTTCAAATAATTTGTACTTTCTAATAGTATTTAGACATCACTGAGTAATGAAGGAAAACAACGTGAGGAAACCTGGACTTATTATCAAATTATAAGTTTGAAATCACCAACCCGTTAAGCAAGCGTGGTGATTAATGCTCAAATCTTCTCCATGTGAGAAGAGGCTATGCTCAGCAGTGGGCTCTGATAGGCTGATGAAGAAGTAAAGTATATACCATTAACCTTCCAAATATTTAATCGTACCTAAATATTAAATCCACATAATATTTCGATACAGAATTCAAGCGGAAAGCAACATTAATATTAGTTGATAATACACGTCTAAATCACATAGTAAAAATGTAAAGCATTTATTATAATAATGACTTTAAAATTATATATCGGAGACACCTCATTATGTACAGACATTGACATATATATAGATTAATGGTTAATATATATAGTAAGTATATAGCGAGAATACATAATGATTTTGTTAAGATGAAATTTTCTTAAAATACAATGAAAAACCCAAAGAGGGTTGATGTCAGGCAGGCGGCCGTAAAAACAATTAGCCAATACTATTCACAACATGTAAGGCAGACCCTGGCTAAAGCTGGGAAATTGCCAGGAAGACGAAGAAGACAATAGACAAACAAACTGACACAACACTCATGTAATGTCTATTATATTATATGTCTTTATATATAAAAGAAAGTCGTGTTAGTTACACTATTTATAACTTAAGAACAGCTGTACGGGTTAGGATGAAAATTAGCGGAGAGATAGCTTAAAACAAGGAAAAAGACGTAGGATACTTTTTATCCGATTAAAAAAGAAAAAACTTGATTAAATCCAAAATCTTCTTATCTATTGTCTTTAAGGAGAAATAGAGTTCGCCCGGTCAGCTATACATTACTCATTCTAAATCTAACACAGACGAATTCGCGGGCAAAAACGAGTGTATTTATATTTAAGTTATAACATAACTTATTATATCCTTAGTTCGAGTTCCCAATCACACTACACACGTAACATTTACCGTTTAACATTCAACAATAGATACACTTATACTAAAATGTATGAAGATTTATACATGAAAAACTATCAACTTAACAAAGCTTATTGAGGTAAAATAACCCATAACAATCAATATATTTTTGAACTATAACTGTTATATCCGAAGATAAATCGCAAGATATATCCCAAGACTCATAACAATACATAATAATGCAGTATAATCCAAGTGTTAGACAATATATTATAATGAAATAAATTCAATTACAAGAGATCATAAATCATCGGAACGATCTCCGTCATTATTGTCTAAATTACTTTGAAACAATTAATATTCTTAATAAAGAAACATCGTGTATAAAACAATGTGTTGTTTTTTCACTTAATTAACTTACTAGTTGTAGGTATCCCTACTAATATTATAAATGCGAAAGTAACTCTATCTGTCTGTCTGTTACGCTTTCACGCCTAAACCACTGAACTGATTTTAATGAAATTTTGTACAGAGATAGAGTTGACCTTGAGAAAGGACATAGGATAGTTTTTATCCCAGACTTTTGAAAGGTTCTCTTGGAAACGCGATATAACCGAACTCCACGCTGGCGAAGCTGCGGACGGAGAGCTAGTTTAATATATTCTTTTATTCTATACTACAGTTACAACTTGTATGAACTACGCTGTGATGAAGTCGTATCACTATATTCACAGAAGTCATTAATGACTTCCTCTAATCATTTCATTATACGGGAGAAAGATTAACGAATTATCAGGTTGTGAGCAATAATGAGGAGATCCTGTAGGAAGAGACATGTGGTGCCATCTAGTGACACAGAAACGGGACCACGAATATATGTATAAGTACAGAATAATCAAGTTCATTAAATAATTAGAGGATATATTGGTTATATGGAATTAATGTTCGGTTTAGTTAGTGTTCATTAACGATATAATGGTTTTCTAGTTTATTTAATAAAGTAAATGTTTCAACTTTTAGGACAGAACGTTGAAGGACTTATTTAACTTGGTCGTTTTAATGATATGCATTTAATAATATAACTCGTAGGTAGAATGTCGTACGTGAAAAATTTTGTCAATCCACGCTATTGATACGAAATATTGCTCATATATAATGATCGTTTGACAGCCGACATGAGGAATGCAAGTCGCCGGCCAGAGCTAGTGTTGTGTCGTAATAAAGTCGATGTTTCACTAAACAGTCGATGATTCATTCATTTTAGGTGTCCATCGACAGTTTTAGTGTTTAAAGCGCCACACGCGATCACGGTTTCAATTTAAAAAGTGGAATGAGATAAAAATAAATAAGGCCCGAGAGACACTTATGTTTAGAGGCGCTCGTAAAGATAGGCTTAACTGCTCGGACTGACCGCTGGCTAGTGATGGGACTTGGCTGAGTCGATAGTTAGAGATGTGTTGGTGGAATGCAAGACAATATTGATACTCATTGAGAGATATTAATATCGATAAACAAGCTTATATTAGCCATGAATTTGGTTAAATATATCTGATTGATAGATCCTTATCATGAACTGATAATATATTTTTTTTCTATTGAACTACTGTTATCCTTACTCCTAAATAAACTAACTAATGTTTCAGACACAACACTCCTTGCCATTCCAATGTTCATAAATCACAAATCCAGACCTTTATCGATGTAAGTTAATCGATACACGTACATCACTACCCGCAGGTGTCAACTGCACTTATTGTCGCTCAAGAACGCGAGCATTTAAGTCAAAGCAGCGTCCGTTTGGAACCATGTCGCAGTAACCAAATTAAGTATAAAGAGCGAGTCACCTTAAACAGTGACAGCGACAAGGGTGCACCTAGCAGCGGGAGGTCCAACAGTTAATAAAGTGTATTTGTCGACATCAAAATAACAGTTTATGGTCGCGACACTAATGCGTTTTATCGATATGCTCATTACGATTATATTAATATGGACTAAAGAAAAACATTTAGTACGTATATCGTCTAAATATATTGAATACAACTTCCAATGGCGAATCAAAATATTACACGTGATTTGATGTAAAATATTGTATTATTTGTAACAAAAATGAGCATTAATTAGTGAGACAGCTTCGATAGCGGGGTCGCGACCTATTTGGCGCCGGAAAGTAATTTGTATGAATATAATATGATCTGAAATGAACGCCGCCTTATCAAATGTAGGAGAATTAGTGAGTAATGTGTTGGCGCCGGCTGTATACAGCTTTCACCTAATATATGTATATGTATATTTGAAGATACTAAGAAGTCATTAGTGACCTAGTGGTAAAAAAGCCTGCCTTTCATGCACGAGGGCTCGGGTTCGATCCTGGCAAGTACAAATGTGATTTTTCCGAGTCATATGTACTTTCTAAGAGTATTTAGACATCACTGATTAATGCATTCCCAAAGAGGGTTGATGTCAGGCAGGCGGCCGATCGTAAAAACAATTAGCCAAAACTATTCACAACATGTAAGGCAGGCCCTGGCTATAGCTGGGTAGAATTGCGAGGTAGAAGATTTGAAGAAATAATACTTGTAGTACTAAATTAAGTTGCAAATATACTTGGCCTTATATTTGTAAGATAATTTATGTTATACGATAAATATGAAACAAATTGAGCTTGATTTAAATTAGTTTTGGATACTATTAAATTATTTTAAATAGTTACATTGGTTGTAACGTAAGTCAGGTTTTAAATTAAATTTTGATATGAATTCCTATTTAAATACTTTTGATGGAAAATTTTCATTACAAGTTATTATTAATTGCCGTATATAGGTATATTTGTTAAAAATATTTTATGAAAGTACCGACAAATAAAAATAAAATCATTTTAATTAGTATTAAAAATCTTATTGTATTCCTAAACGTATGTAGTTTTAAATATTCTTAAAGATTTCTAATAAGTCTTCTCTACAATAATGTCGTGTAAGCAAGCCATTGAGGTAATTTTCCCACAACTTTCAGCTCCCAGCGTTACCTAGCCAACAAATTACAGACTTAGCCGCTTATTAGCCGATCGAACATGAGATTTAGCCGAGAGAATTAGCTCTATAATAGACCATTCAGTTTAAGGACATTATCATTATAACCGATTATAGAAAATAACCTTTACATTGTTTTAAAATTAACTTAGATAGTTATCAATAATAATTTAAACTAGGAAGACAGTAGCTTAAATATTTAGAAGTTTTATTTAACGCGCATCTAACACACTTACTAACTCAATTACTTTTAAATAAAATATTATAAAAAATTTTTATTACCTTAAATGTACGTAAAAGTTATATTTAACTAGGATTTTTTATAATTTTTTGATTAACTATTAGTATGACGTAAATTATGTTCAACACCGTCGGTAAACTGAGTCTAGATTTATCTAATCTAGATTCATTAAATTTAGATTTGAATGACCTATCTTTTAGAAAATAACCATCTATTATTTTGATTATTTTAATATATTATGTAATTAATATATAAATAATTAAGTATATGTAATCAAATATATCTTTGTAATTTGCAAGTTTACTTCAAGTGTCGTTGTTTTAATAAATTAACATTAATGTTGTAATATAATTCATAATTGGTGAATTGCTTGATTTGCATAAAACTCGGATGCTCCCCTTATCTTTGTAAACAGCCTCTTCGGTAACTTTGTCTTTATCAATTAAGATGAAGCATATTTTTGGCTAACGACGTTTGTTCAACCAAATTGTTTTTCAATAAAAATAAAATCTATCACAAAATTTATATTAAAACTTACCTGTATTATAAAACACTCGTTATATTAATATATACGTTTATCACTATTTTTAATGGAATCGATCGTAATATTATATTTAATATATTTTTTATTTTAATAACGGATCTATGTGATCTAAGTATTTTAATTTTGTTTAGGTATATTCGTTATGTATTGTTGTTCACTTCACAGTCCCTACATACCCTCGCATGTGAACTGCCCGTAGTGTTTCCCCGAGGACTTGTCTCCGCAGACCACACACTCCACGTTCTGTCCCTTGTCGTTGGCGGAGGAGCCGCTCTGCGTGGAGGCCGCCTGGCTGGCGGGCGTCGCCGGCAGCAGCTCGTCCTCCCGCCAGCTGTTCCTGAAGCCCAGCTCGAGCGGCGGCAGGTCGGGGCCCCGGGGGCAGAGTCCCGGGCCTCCGACCCCGCCGTACACTAGCGCTCCGTGCGTGATGATGCCGGTACGCGCGAGGCCCGCGCGCGTGGTTCAAGGGTCGCGGTTCAGGCGCGACTGAGCTCGGGTCGGCCGGTCGGGCCCGCCGCCAGCCATTGGCCCGCCATTGGCCCGGTGGCCTGGGGGCAGGGCGTCGCGACCCCCCCGGACCCCCGACCCCCGGACCCCGCGACCCGCGACCCCCGGCGCCGCGACGGGGGAAAATCTTTCAGCGGCACAATCGGTGAAGTAGGACGGAGTTTTATATTCAGTTTCAAGAAACGGTCTCTGAACAGACGGAGCTACCGGCACACACACACACACACACACACACACACACACACGCGCGTCTAGTATTCTAGTATGAGTTCATTACGTCCTAGCTCCTCACATGTAGTTCCTCGTCGTACCTCACTGTGTTAGTCGTGTTAACCTGCGCCACATCTCATCCATCACCTGTCCGTGTGTCCATCACTACATACAAGCTCGCCGCCCGGTTCCGCTCGCCTATCGTTCATTACAGCCTCCATACAATCCTTGTCTCCAATATTCTCCAGGTGTAGAGGCTCTATCCAGCTCTCCTAACTCTCTCTCCGCCGTGTTCTCTATCACATGTAACTCTCTCTCTCTCTAGTCTCCGTGTCACAGTGGGCGTGACCGTCGCCGCCACTCCTGCGCATACTATAACACGTCGATCACAAATACACTACTATAGGATTCATATAACAATCATATTAATATAGATCACTTAATATTTATTTTTTATTATTCCGTATAAGGATTTAATATTATTTTTATATATATAGTCATAAAATTTTTCTCATACAAATAGATTATTTAAGTTTTACGAACGCAGAACCACAAATATATGTTATTAACGATATTGGCGATATAAAAGGCTTTTATATAAATATGTATATATAGTATTAGTGTCTGTATGTCAGTGTATGTCGGGTCGGGGGTGAGGGGTCTCTAGGCGGGTCAAAGGTCGTCCCGCCTTCCTCCAAAGCCTCACAGACAGAGCCTCTGTGTGAGTGACTCTTGGAAGTGTTTCAGGTAGAAGCGAACTCTACATTCAGTTTCTACTACCAGACGATCGATTATTCATAATTTTTATATATTAATATATTGAAAATCGTTTATCTATAGGTATTATGATTGTAAATGTATAATATATTTTGGTAGGTTTTAATTTAAATTGTTTTTTTCTTATATACTGATGAAAAAACATTGTTATTTTTTGTTCTATAATATATTTTCTTAATAATTTCAAGGATCTTATAATAATGATGGTAATTATATAGCCGTCCGTCTGTTTGTAAGTTAAACAATTTCCCGTAAGACTCGGAGGCTGCGTCACTGAGATTCATCTCATCGATCGCTACAGACTCTTTGTAACTTACAGACATACATACATACATATATAGGTATATATTTGTATGAAATTCTTTAACATTTATTACTTTAAATTCAACAAAAATCTCCATTTAAAATCGTTTAAAACAATCAAACTCAATTATCAGTGGACAGACGTGTGTTGTGTGTTTGTTTGTCTGTTTGTTGTTCCCTGTAACACATAAATCAATCAGTTCCGAACGCAACAAGAACATATCTGTAAATCACTCACAACACTCTTTTTATTATGCGAGTGTTATTTAGGTACACTCCGTCTGTCTGTAGCCGGCTGAAGACAAGCGGTGTATACATATATATTTATTTTATTATTATATATGTACTTAAAATTTAATTAATAATAGAGTTATAAGATCTAAGTTAAGTGAATGTTCATTTAAATGCTGAATTTAGTATGAAAATATTAGTTTCATTAAATATAAGAATTCTATATATATATATTTGTTTTTTTATCTTTTCATATTGTTCAATTTAACTAATATATCTCAAGACAAACATTAAAATGTATCTTAAACAATATTAAGATCGTTTAAAATCTTATTCAACTTTGATGAACACTTACAGTGAAGTGATACGTCTTTATACTGATGTGTATTGACGTTCATTGAGAAATGTATTTAAAGAATATAAGATGAGGATTAAAATCTTAATAATAGGTAGAATTAAAATTAATTATTATAGTTATATAAGAAAAGTTAAAAAAAGGATTGTGTATGGTACTAGATGACGGGGCAAACTTTGTTTTGCCATATGAAAAAATATTAAATTTGGGTTGTATGCATTTTAAATGAAAAAATAAAAATAAAAAATTACGTCCTAAAATTTAAGCTTGAACAACCCTTATTACTTAGGTATATGAAAAAAAGATAATACCTAATTCTCAGATTTAATAAATACATATAAAATTTGGTGAAAATCTGTAAATTCATTTCAGAGAAGTTTTGTAAGTTTATGACATGGAAGTTTTATATATAATATAATAAACTAAAATCTATATACATATATAAAATATATGTTATATTTTTGTAATAATTGTACCGAGTACACAAGCGAGGTTATCAGTAGTTCATGGGCCGCGTCTTATCTATTCATATCATACTGTCTTCACAAACGTTTAATAATATATGAATATATTAAAGAAAACAATAATTATCATATAATATATAGGTTTTTAATATATTTATTAATATACTTAGGAAAAATTTGGTTAATAATTTTATATATGGTAATATTTATGATTGGGTCTGACGTCATCAAAATGGCGGGAAACTCGAAATGGCGGGTAAATATTCTGATTAATTATTATTACAATAATTGTAATGATTTATTTATCATAAATTTAAAGCTTGTTGCTTGATAAGTTTTTTATCCCTACTAATATTATAAATGCGAAAGTAACTCTGTCTGTCTGTCTGTCTGTCTGTCTGCTACGCTTTCACGCCTAAACCACTGAACTGATTTTAATGAAATTCATGAAATCAAATGAAATGAAGAGATAGAGTTGACCTTGAGAAAGAACATAGGATAGTTTTTATCCCAGACTTTTGAAAGGTTCTCTTGGAAACGCGATATAACCGAACTCCACGCGGCGAAGCTGCGGGCGGAAAGCTTGTAGTTAGTTATATTTGTAACTTTTTTATTTTTATTTTATAATGATAAAAATTTCATTTTATATGTATTTTGTTGAATAAATAAGTTTTGAATGGATAGTGACGTCAGTAATTAAATTTTTCTATCAATCTTTTCGTAATTTTTATCTATTAATTAATAAAAACTAAATATAACTTTATTTTGTTTGAAATTGTGAAGATTTTAGCCTCATTTCAATAATTTTACTGACTATTGGGTTTCCATAATAGATTCCTAGACTCTTTGTTTTCTATTCCCAAACTCGCAAAAATTGTTTAAAAGTTAACCCAGTTATCTAACGATCGGATTTCTTTAACCCAAATATAAAATGTTAACAGAAAATAAAATATAAAACCTTTAACGTGTATGAAGGTATTAGGACGGATTCCGCACGAAATATTAAAAAACTGTCCATCACTACTACCGGTCAAAACTTGATGAGATTACGCGCGGACCGAGTTATTCGGACGCCATTTTGATTTAAAAATCAATAAAAACAACACTATTATTCATGATTAATATCTTTTTATCTTTATCTTTGGTATCTTTAAAGATATTTATATATATCAGCTCCTGTTAATAAAAGTCACCCTAATAAGTGTAATCCTCGCTTCGTTTCCCCATTCCTCCGCACCGCGGCGCCACCGCTTTGTGTGAAGGCGACCAATTGTGCGGAACCCCTGGCTGATCACTTAATTGACTACAGAGCGAACGGTTTTTCACACAACTATACATTACACGACAACACTCCTTTACTTAACATCCATTGAAGTTTTTATACAAGCTTCATATTATACATCGAACTAAATCTTCAATGTATGTTATATGATATATTGTATCGTGTATTACGGTTAAAATCCGTTGATATCGGATTAAAGTGCAGTGAAAATGAGATTTGTTGGCAAGTGATAGGATTGTGTGCTTAATGCCACTTAATCTATATAGAGGGAGGGCAGGTTGGTGCTCAGTCGGCTTGAGGACAAAAAGAGGCGTTCACGTGCACTCAGCGGCTAAGTTATTGGATTTACAACGAATTCTTGAGTTGTAACGTGGATTATGGAGACGGATGAACAATTATAATGTGAGCTTTGGCGTCACGAGCGCTTCCAATGAATGCTTCATTTAATACTCGCAATATTTCCATATACATTCAATAAATGTACTAAAAAACTCTTTATAATAAAATTCTTTAATATTATTAAAGCCGTATATCGTGGTTGTAGTTAAGGTCGACCGGTCATATTTCCCCCGGGAGTAACTTCATCAGTGTGTAATCTTTAATATCTTCGACTTTCAATCAATGCTACTTCAATCGTATTTACTTATGTCCACATAATAATCATTTTATTTGGAATATCCAATATATTTTATTTATAAATCATAAACTATTTCTCTTTCATAATGATTTGTAATTTTCATAATATATTTTTCAATAATACCTAAAGATTTTGTCATAAAAAATAATTTACCTCTTCCAATAGTTTTGTAACTCTATGTACGTTTTCTGTCTTTTATATACAAATCATACATTCGTTATTATATATTAATATGATATTACAAAATTTCATTTCGTAGATTCCAATATAGTTTTAATTTCGTTCTTTTAGCACTTTTTATTTATATTTCTTTGTTGAAGTGTTCTAATATAGGACTAGGATTTTTGCTTTCAGAGCCAAATCTGTTCTCAATTAATTTAAGGTACATAATAAAGTTATAAATTACATAGTCAATCGTGGCCTAGTGGTTAAAAGGTCCGTCTCTCATGCACGAGGGCGCGGGTTCGATCCTGGCAAGTACCAATGTGATTTTTCCGACTCATATGTACTTTCTATGAGTAATTAGAAACAATTAGCCAAAACTATTCACAGCATGTAAGACAGACCCTGGCTAAAGCTGGAAAATTGACAGGTAGAAAAAGAATAAAGTTATAAATTACTCACGTTAGTACAGATCAATTAAAATGTTATTTTTATAAAGCTGTATTTAAATATAACATATTTTAGATTAATTTATATAAAACTTTAAAACCATATACATTTTTAAATATATTATAAATGCTTTCTTTTCTCGTATCCAGTAGTAACAATAAGATAACAATACATCTTATAGTTGTATAAGATACATCATTTGAACCGGCACGTGGTCGGGTTAACGTTTAACTCAGCCAGTTAATATTAACCCTTAAAGTTACAGGGATGCTGTGACACAAGTTACAGTTAACACCTCGGGGTTAAACGAATTATTGTTAACAATATATTGTTAGTTATACGTGGTTTATTAACAAATGTTTTTTGATTATTGAAAGAAATTAAATGTAAGAAATAAAATTTTATTTTTAACGAATTTTAAATGGTTTATTGTGGTTATTTTATTGTAATATCATTTTTGTTTTATAATACATAATGAATTGGTTATATGTTTTCAATATTATCGTATTCAGACAAAGATTTCATGTGATGGAGATTAATTTTTAGTATTTAAGACGTCTTAAACAAATTCTCGTTTTATTTAACATATAATATAATATATTTTAATATTGGTAATATATTTTTTATATATATTTAGTTTACGTCCACTGATCCAGTCTGAAAAATAATCTCGTTAAATTTAAATCAGTCAATAACCAAACGAGTCCAAAGCCATATTTATGTATGAGCATCAGTTCCCTTTAAAATGTAAAACATACAACAATGCCTTCAATCAGCCATCTCAAGAATGGTATTAATTTTCAATGAGATTATTTACAAGCTACGCCGCCGTCTGGAAGGCATCTGTCAATATTGTCACAAAATATTAAAAAACTGACAAAAAATGTAAAAAAAATACATTCAATGTGGGCTAATTTTCGCTCTCAATACCCACTCTGTGTGTAAGCATCAGGGCGTGTTCCAAATTAATTCATACATAGTCCTTGTAAAAAATGCAGAAGACCGTTGGCTTTTGTGGAGGAATTTTTTTCCTTGCTTTATTTATGGCGCAAAAATTGGGTTACTTAACGGAAGCTTGGGACCATTGTGTTCTTAGGGGTTTGATGCAAAAAATATTTGGATCACGTGTATATATTGATCCGATTTATGAATGTTAATTAAGTTTAAATATTATTAACGAGTAAAGTCAGGGTATAAATAAGTATATATATTCAGGTGGTGATATAACTTCTATGTAACGTATCAGCCCTTCCACATAACATCCGTTGATACAGTCGTTTATACAAAACTAGATTCAACTAGAAACCTTTCAAAGGGCCCCGAGGTCGTAGGTCGTCAACAAAAAGACGTTAAACTTGAACAAAAACTACACAGAAAAAGGGGCTTCCACTGATATTGTGAATATTGATGAAGAATGAAATCTGGTTCTTGGATTTGTTAGAGTTACGTGTGGTCCCACGGTGTTAGAACACGTTTATATAACTAACTTTATCAGACACTGGCATAAACTGGGAAATTGCTAGGAAGATTCTATATAACTAAATAAATGTTTCCCAACAGAGACTAATAAAATGAATCCGTACATAAAGAAGTCCAATCTTTATGTGAACAATGGGCGCGAGTCACAGAATCTTTGCCCTAACCCTTAAATAGAAGGGATGCAGAGATTCACATTGAGCTCGACCCGGCACGCGCAGATTCATCTTAAGGGTTGAATTTAACGCGTGGCAGGTCGCTCGTACCATTGTGAGGATTTACTAAATGGATGCTGGGTTAGCATCCTCTTAGAGTTTAGAGATGCATATCTTAATATATAACATGTATTAAAAAAACGTTAAAATTCTTATCATTACTTACAATATTAAAGACTAATATGTTTTTCTATATAAAATAAATGTAATTCTGTTCTCATAATGAAATCTAATTCGCGAGTATTCATTTAAATGAAACTAATATTTTTCGGATATACTAGACGTAACAAAACATCGAATAACATCGGGAGTATGTAATTTTTTACAGACATCTTAAATTCCGTTCTGTCAAATTTCATCGTAAACTTTAAGATAGACACAAATATATGAGATAAGATTATTTAACACCTCCGAACTAATCTTTCAACGAAGAACCATTGAAAAAATAGTGAAATTTAACTTACGGGAACCATAAATACGGGTTTGTGGTAAAAAATTACGCAAAAACGGACGTAAATTTGTCAAGATACCCGCCCCGAGTGACACGGTGGATATAGAAACAGTTGGAAGATATTATTAATAATTAATTAATAATACTGACATAAAGTTACTATTATTATTTAATTAAAAATTTAATAAAAAATCATTTAATTCAGTTTGCAACCGTGATTGTATATAGTATAATCTAGCAATATTTAAAGCTTTTTCTACATTATTTCCAATTTAATTATTAAAACAAATTAATTTAATTTGATAGTCATTATTGTAATCAAGAGTCACGGCTGAATCAAAATTATACTGGAACGAAGATTAAACAAAACAATAAAATTATCCGTAGCATGTGACCTCTCACCTCCGACCTTACTCACTAATAAACTACTAGATTATTACTAGATTATTAAAAAAAAACTTTACTCATTAAATTAATTATTGATTTCAATGAAAAAGCTTCTAAAATAACATACGAACAAAACCAGAGTATATCTAATAGTATTTAAAATAATAAAAAGTATCTTCTTTGTATAAAAAGCATATGTATTTTATATATTTGAGTAAATTTTTTTCGTTTCATATTTTCGTCTGTCTCTGTCAGCAAATCTCTGTAACGATTGGATCGTTTTTGATAAAACTGTTGAATGTTGAATTAGATTGGCATGATCAATTATATATTTTAAATGAAAATAAAACTAATATTTACGGATATTATGCGTTTTATTATTTTAAACTGTTAACGCTGCGTGTGTAGTGACGATACTAACTTATACTAAGGATATAAATTACAAAATTAATTCCATACAATAATACTTTCAAAGTAATATCCAAATATAACCTAATTATCATTAATTTTGCATTTTAAATACCGGATATTTGAAAATACGGTTTACGATAAAAATGTTAATTTTAAATCCTTATTAATAAAATACAACCATGTTTATATATTTCCATAAAAACAAAGTAATTTGTAAAGTTAAGCAAAATAATTTGTATTATATATACGGGTTCTTTGTAAATATTAATCTCTTAGATTTGGTCAACACGCGACCGTATGATCGATTGCTAGTCATGACTAACAAACATACATAAAAAATACTAGAATTTAACATAAAACTAACAAAATACATACAAAAACCTTACCTTATAGCTTCAAAGAATAATTTATCTAATTTTTATCGAAATTTCACACAATTTGCACTATTTTTATTTCGCGCGCAAAAACATCTGGACATTAAAAAATATGTCAACTAGGGCGTGTGATATTTCCATACAGCCAGTTAGTGGTCACTCCTTCATATATTTTAACAAAGACCCGTTAAGTGGCTGAGAAAACAGTTTTTTTATGTATTTTTGTAACAATCTTGTATCACAATGGACTCCTGGGGACAGTGAGATGTAATGCAAAATATTTGGGTTGGTTTTTTTAATCTGTGGAATAAAGGTTTTTCAAATTATTTATTTAATATAGATTTTATATTCATACATATGCTTTTAAATAATCTGTTTTTATAATGCAATCTAAGACTTTCTCGTGTGTTAATACGACATTTCCTTGAATAATAAATAAATCACATATTCTCGAAAACGAGTAGTAAATCCGAAAATATATATATATATTTTTATTTAATCTGTTAGTGGATAAAATTTTTGGATTTTAATAAATTCAATGAAGTAAACCAAAAGATAAATATCACACTAGTTTTATTTTCTAAGTATTATCATAAGTAGTCCATCGTGCACCTCAGCTGAATATAATTGCCTTTGCCTTTATTGTAATAAAAAAAAAACCTGTCAATATTCAAAACAAATGTCACTTCGTCCCCTAGAATAAGATATGTATATTGAAAACACATGTAGCGTTATAACGTCCATTGTGGCGATATTTTTGGACTTAAGGTAAATCCGTGGCCGGCGACAGTTCCCATGACGTGCGTATTAATTCCCGTTATGTTTATAACAATTGTTATCGGAAGTGAGACGGATTATTTCCGTCGCCGGCCATCTTGATGTGATTTACATGTCTCCCCTACTACTACAGATAACTTCCATTATTTGGTGATAATTCGCAGCTGGACTCTACATAATCTTTGATTTCACGCGACATTTTTGGAATTAGAATATTGTTTTTTTTTTTCTTAAATATTATCGCGGGAATGTTTAGGTTTAAGAGTATAAAGAAAATTTTGTTGTACTATTAAAATGTATAAAAAAATCGTTGTAATATTTATTTGTATTCATATTAATGATTGTGAGTGAAGTGGTTTATTTGTTGGTCTCATTACATGCTCACAAGAGTCTAGATGTAACTGATAAGAAAAATGCACCGCCCCTTGTAGGGGTGTCACAACAAACATTATTACATCATTAATAAAAACATATACAAGAAAAAACAAAAAAAAAATATATTTATACACCTAAAAAAATTATATTTAATATATAGGTACTATGATAAAAAACCGATAAATTATAAAAAAAACCGATATAATAACCGATTATTTATATACGGTCAACCCTAAATCCACCAAAGCCCACGCAATGACATAATAACGATCTTAGATCACAGATAAGCTATTAATTTGGCTCAAGTATCCTCAACTAGGGGTCCATCGTTATATTAATATATACTAATATAATATCTATTGTGTTTACATAAAGACGAGAATCCTTTGATCATATATTTATATTGTAATTGATATTCAATAGCGTACAATGCTTATTGTTTTCTATGAGGTCTGATTACAAGCCGGAGGCTGGTCGTTGTGATTAAATATTATATTTTTATTAATAAAAATTATTTTAATATATCATGATATATGAGTTTAACTTTATTTGAATAAAACTATTTTTTTTTTGTATTTACTATGTGTTTTTTTTATTATTTTAAGCTACATACTACCGACGTTTCGGTTACTTTTCAGCAATTAAGATCATTGACAGACGAGATGAGAATATTTCATTTCATAGTATGTAGTTTTATATAAACTATATTGAGTTTATTTCCTATCAATAATAATAAATAATTCTTATTATTTCACGTATAAAGTTTAACAGTAACTTATTAATGCTATATTAGACCTACTACGAACTTTGACTTTAGAAAAACTGAAGTTTTACACAAAAAAAACAGCATATTTTTTTACAATAATATATTAGAATTACTTCTTATTATTATTTTGTTTATTTTTACTAATAATAAATATATTTAAGAATATATTCTACTAGCAGTAGAGACATAATATTCTACTGGTTAACCACAAAGTACTCTTGTAAGGATTCAGTACCCTTAATCCAAGTTTCTATCGTCACTACATACGTACCGTTTCACGTTTCTCATTCAATATTACGTTAATACTATTAACGCGGCGTGTATAGTAATGATGCTAACTTTAAGTAGCATAGAGATTTCAAGAACTAGATGAGAAGTAGTGTAAATCAATTATATTTAATTTAATTGTTATTTATATAAATATATATTAATAGTATTTAAAATTTGAATTTAATTTATATATTTTATGTAGTTAAATATTGTTGTTAACTGACTTCAAAAAAAGAGACGATTATCAATTCCTCATGTTTTTAAAATAATTTGTTATTACTACATTTATAATTAAAAAATCCAGAACAGAAATGTCTGTTTAAGTTCAATTTGAGATTTAATATTAATATAGATAAGAATAGTTATACAAAACACTAGATAATATTAATTTATATAAGTAATAAAAGCCGAATATTGAAATTAAATTCTTATTTTCTTTAAGCTAATGATGTTCAAAAATTTTTTATACAAACTAAACAATGTTACATATGTATATATATTATATATTTTAATATATTATCATATATTTTTAGTAAATCGTACAATATATTAAGGTATTTCAATATGAGGAGCTCCGATCACTCACGTAATCCCATTGATTGATGACCCCGCTTTGTACATTTCCCTTTTTTTGGGGAAAACTGCGGTTATCTAATGCTATGAATAATTTAGGGAAACTTGGTATGTGTTCAGTAGATATACTATGTACACTGTATAAATTAATAAATAATATTTTGATAAAAACCTAAATATATTAAATTATCATTAATATTTAAAAATAAAAAGAGTTTGTTTTCGAATTGAGACATAACTGGCCAGTAAATGGTCATTAGGCGGGGAATTAAAAAACAAAAGAATTCAAATTTGGAACGCCGAAGGTCAGTTCTGTTTGTGTCCGGCGAGTAGCACCTGCCCGCGGTATGAATAATAATAGGACGACACTGCACCGCTACATGCGACAGAATAAATTATTTGCACACAAAAGACGGCCGGGGGGCCACAATGAAATGTTTTCTTGGAGGACAATATTATGAAGGGGATATTCAAATTTTAGGGTCCCGCGATTTTAAATATGAGTATTATTTTTTTTAATTTGTCCAGTTTTCTCACGGGTCAAGCGGTGACCCCTGGACAATGATCGGACGTCCAGAGTTTGTAATTAATGTCTCGTTCGATATCTTTGTGCTAGCGTCGCGGATAATGGCGACCATCTTTATTTATGTGTATGAATGGATCGCCGCGT